TAACTGTTGAATTTTTTCGCAAACTTCCCCAAGACGCAGAGAAGGGTGGAAATCCAACTAACTCACTTTTTGACAGATATAATGATGCTTACCTTCGTCGAATTGGTAAGCAACTGAAATTTAACTAAGAACGTAAGAAATTTGATTTTCTTAATCTTTTATTCCCAGGTTCCTAATAATTCTAATAATAAAGGACTAAAAGAGTCCATTAGGCACGTATTATACTTTTACTCGTCATATAGTAGTACATAACCCATTAGAGGAATCGTTTTCCCCATTTTTGCTTTACTGAGATTCCTTGAATTCAACAGCTACCACTGTCTTGTCCTATGTGAACATGGTATGTGGGAGCCTCAGGCATACTATTCCCAAGTCCGTAGTTTATTGTCAAGTGCGTGAGGCTAAGCGCAGCTTACTGGATTACTTCTTTACAGATTTGGGTAAAAAAGAGGTGAGCTTTCTTTATTGTGTAATAGGTATGTATGTGAGATGAAAATGAACTGAGCTTACTTTTGCATAATCTACGTATTGTCTTTGCAGGGAAAACAACTATCTTCATTGTTGAATGAGGATCCAGCAGTCATGCAGCGCCGAACCTCCCTTGCAAAGAGGCTAGAGCTATACAGAAGTGCACAATCAGAAATTGAGGCAGTTGCATGGGACAAGTAGAAAAGCACTAGGGCTAGTTCTCAGAAATCTGAACTTTAGTTTTATGGGGGGCATTTTTATTTTTTTTTATAAACATGATTCGATTCTTTATACATTGAGGAAGAGTATAGTTTTTTTGACATGGATCCGTGAAGTCATTTTCACCGCTCCGACTACAGGCTTATATGCTCCTGGACTGGTTGTTTTCGCTGATATAATTCAATTGTATTCACGTTTTTACTTTTTTGTTAATAAATTGATACATTATTTATTTATCTGTGCTTATTCTTTTTGTGGAAGGACGAGGAAGGGGATTGGATATCTCCAGTTAAGGGTTGGATGAATTGAAGGGATGAACAAACTCTGCCTTCTTTGTGGAGTTCTTGTGAATGATTAAATAGATGTAATAATAATTCGAAGCTATCTTTTACTGAGGCAAGCACACAATTGATCTTAAAGTTTTGTAGGATTCACTCAAGATTCTTTGTACCAACTATTCATCCAAAATTTGCTAGTATCTAAATTATATTATGCATAAATTCCTAGCTTTATATTTGGATCAAATTTGTAATTAGGTTGTATAGTAATGACTCCATCTAGCGCAGCAGAAATTCATCTAAGCTGTGTACAGAGGCAGCAAAAAATAAAACACAGATGGAGGTGCGGGGAATCGAACCCCGTGCCTCTCGCATGCGAAGCGAGCGCTCTACCATATGAGCTACACCCCCATTTGATAGTTGATCTAACATAATTTATAATTGACTATTATATTTTTATTAGCCACCCCTCAGTTATTTATAACTTAGGCCAAATTAAGTAATCTGCATTCGTTTTGGCACAAATGATCACTTGGTTAAACAAAGGGGCGATTTTTGTGCTTCAAATTTATTTGTTTAAGAATACCATGAGTTGAGTTGTCCACATTTATCATTCAAGTACTTTAATGTTTCTATACTGAACGTAGATAAATTATCTACGTTTATTTCCAAAACGACGTCGAGTTGAAAAATTAAAAAATTATAATGAGAAATATTATTATATTCCTGAAATACATTATAATTATAAAAATATCTTGATTTTCGTCCCAAAACGACGTCATTTTATACCCAATGTAAATAACTTATCTGCAGAAAAAATCAACGGTATCTTAACTTTTGTAGTGATGTGTGTTTTCTTTTTTTTCATTTCCTTTTTTCGGTGGATTTCTTGTTTTGTTTTAACTCGTGTAACTTGGATACTATTTTGATCATTTATTCTATTATTATTGATACATTACAATAATTTAACTTTATAACTAATATTCAGAAAAAAATAAAATTTTGTTTAATTGATATTTATAAAAATAGATACGTATATATATCTTAAAGTAATTTTGTATTTCTTAATAATGATATTGATGAAACTTAAAAAAATATTGATACAGATTATTTATGTCCTAAAATTCATTTTTTTGTCCGAATATAAGGATTGCATGATATACAAACAGATCAGAAATTACAAAATCTATGAAAATTCTGTTAAAATAATGTTGATTTAATTTTTTTTGTGGAAATATTTCAATTAGTTCATTGTTTTGCAACTAATCCGATTCGGGACGGATCTAGGATTAATTAAGGCTTTAAACCCCTCCCAAAGGTGGTACTGGCGAGATTCGAACGCATGTCCCCACCTGCTTAGCTCCCATGCACCAACTGAGCTACCATCATTTAGTAATATTGATTTAATTTAGTTATGGTATTTCTAGTAAAACAATTTATGCTATTGATCCTATTCAATCTACATTTATGAATTTCAACAAGACAATTTTAATGACAAAATTTGGTTCCAAAAATAAATTAGTCAAACATTTACCTATACTGTGAGTATAAATAGGTTAGGTTAAGTCAGACTTTAGCTTTAATAATTTAAGCCTATGTAAAATATTTAAAGCCTGAGCAAATTTGTTAAAAAACTAATTAAACATTTATAAAAATAAAGCTTAGGCATCCATTTATCACCCAACCTAAGGAGCAATGCTATAGCAAGACGCTGCTATCTGACTTCAGCTTACAGGGAACTCTCCCTCTCTCTCTAAACATGGGAGGGGTACTACTTTTTTCTCAGCCTTTTTTGAATTCGTAAGGTAGTCAGTCCTCTTTAAATAGGAAAAATAATGGGTTACTTGATACTTAAGTTTGGGAGTGATAGCCCATGAATTATACTGCTAGAGCCTTATCTTATCCTTATTTTCTAGAAATTCTTTCCATATTGGACCTTGGACATATCATAGTTTCTAATCTCTTTAGAAAGAAGATCTTTTGTCTCATGGTAGCCTGCTCCAGTTCCCTTATGAAACTTTCGTTATTGGGTTAGCCATACACTTTACATGTTTCTAGCGATTCACATGGCATTATCAAATTATAAAGTCTTGGATAAGAATCTACAACGCACTAGAACGCCCCTGTTGACGATCCTTTACTCTGACAGCATCTAGGGTTTCTCGAACAATGTGATATCTCACACCGGGTAAATTCTTAACCCTTCCCCCTCTTACTAGGACTACAGAATATTCTTGTAAATTATGGCCAATACCGGGTATATAAGCAGTGATCTCAAATCCAGAAGTTAAGCGTACTTTGACAACTTTACGTAAGGCAGTGTTTGGTTTTTTGGGGGTGATAGTGGAAAAGTTGACAGATAAGCCACCCTTATTGCCACTCTACAGAACCGTACATGAGATTTTCATCTCATACGGCTCCTCGTTTAATTCTTTCGAAGTCATTGGATCCTTTTCCTCGTTCGAGAATCTCCCTCTTCTTCCACTCTGTCTTAGCTGTTGGCTCTTTATTTGCGAAAACTGTCAAAGGTCAGGTGAGCGCCTACCGGGAGTGAAAGACCCATATGGCATTGATTGGCTCATATGGTCGTTTGCCAAGAAGAGTTGTGAAGGCAGTGGTGAAGGCGCTGCCAAGAAGAGTGGTGAGTCATGATCAGCTTCTTGTTTCCATGTCTTTTTTTTTTTTTTTTAGTAGACTGTTTCCACGTCTTTATATCTTCTAATTGTCTTTTTTTTTCAAGTAAAGGTACCTTTCCTTTACAATGTTATCTCAATATTATTATTACTATTCGGTAAACATTATCTCAATATTGGTATCTCAACGTGTCCTGTGTAATGTTATTTTTGTTTCATTTAGTTGTATGTTAAGTAACAGTTGTTTTTTCTAAAAAAATGAAATAATCATTTTTATTTTTATTTTAAATTTTAGAATACCAAACATCCCTGAAAATATTTTATTACAAAATTTCTTGAGAAATCATACTCTTATGTTGCATAAGATGGATCTCTCATGTCACTCTCTCTTCGAAAAATGTGCCTCTCTTTTTTCTTTTTTTCTTTTTTCTAAAAGTTGGTGAGGCCCACTTTAGTTGTCTCATAACATAAGAAAACTTCTCTCATACTACATGAGAGAAGTAATCCCCAAATTTCTTATAGCATATCCTAACTTGAGGTTTTAATTTTTAAACTTGAGTCAATTGCTCCTGCAACATGATGTTGTACATAAAGTAGCTGGCTAAACGAAAATTGGGTTTTTTACCTTAATTTTTTTCGTAGCTAATTAACCAATGTTCATTTTTAAGTACGAATCATGAATGACGTATAAAATGACATATTTTGGACAAAAAAAAAAGAGAGCATATTCATAACTTCTTACCACAGAATACAGATATTTGTCACATTACCAGCTGCATAACTCCAAACCTAAAGGGATACACGATCTGCTAAAGATTGTCAATGTGGTTATGTTAAACCGTTGCAATCAATAATTTGATATAAATTAGTCCCTTTAATAAGAGCCACTAGCCCCATTTACAGAGATTGAGATCATTAATAAACAAAGTTTAAGATACCTGCAGGTTCAAGGATTAATACTTAAACTCTCCTCATAAAGAGATTACTTCCCCTATTCAAATCACCTTTCAGTCACGATAGAATCTTCTTGATCCTGAATGCTTCCATGTAAACAAATTTATCACTGCTCCACCACGCTCACCTTCTTTATTGGAGATTATCATTATATATAATTTAAGGTGCCAAGTTCTCCTTTTACTGTTGAAACAAATTTTGATATTTCATACTTTTAAAATTATCGTAAATATTAGGAGTATTTGGCTATATGACGGGTACATACTACATACCCACAAATCTGTATAATCGCAATGAAACTTCTGTACGCACCTCAAAAAGGAAAACCAACTAAAGTAGGAAGTAACTCGAGAATTGAGATACAGGAAGACTAAATTCAAGAATAGGGTTAAACTTTTGGCTTATTTTATTTGAAAAATAATTATCTTCATTATTAAGTTCCTCCACATGATATCAGTTGCAACAATTCAATAACAAGTCAACCGACAAAAACGAACCACTATTATCTAACCAGATATTAAGAAAGTATATACAATTGAACCAAATTAATTATCAAAATCATTGACAAATTGACAATGGGGTAACAAATAATAATAATAATTAGAAACGGTCTTTCAATTCCGTAATTCATTATGTCAAAATTGTCTAACTACATAAAGAACCAAAATTTTCACCTTGAAGGTGCCTCCGAAAACCCAAAACTGACTGCGATGAACCTGCAGACTGAGCAAGATGATTAGCATGAATTCTGCTCCACAAGCAACTTCAACATAATTTAAGCAAAAATAGTGAGATCAAGTGCATTCCAGAAACATAGAAGTGTAATTTCTGGGTTGAAGGAGCCAATAAAATAGCTCTAGTTTTTGTAGGTGAGAGATAATACCTTAAATTGAAGAGAAACCTCCAATCCTCCATCTTAAATAGAGATATCTGCAATATTTCGTGAATTTGAATAATTCAATCAGTAAAATCTGATTTGCATCGTCAAAAGGATTCATTAATTCATAGTTTCTCCAGACTACAAATATACTGAAGTTTAATTCAGTAGATAGAAAGGTAGGGAAGTGGAGGACCTACCAGAAACCTCCTATAAGACAACGCAGCTATAGAACTGAAGCTGATAAGGCAGGGCAATTCGTAATTGAATTCCAGAAATGATTAAAATAACACGTCTCCTTTATGTGAAATTATGAGGTCTTTATCTTCTTTATCCACAATAATACTGCTACATTTCATTAGTAACGGCGAAGAACTTTGGGTTAAGCAGTAGCTGTGCAATCTTTACTTGAAGAGAAATTGATAGACTTGGGAGCATCACTTCCTCTAACTACACGGTTATAAATAACTTTAAATGACTGAGAGCCTTGAGGACGAGTAAGCAAACTTATTGGCATTCTCAGAGTCTGCTTCCGATTTCTTCTTCCCCGAATCAAAATGCTGAAGGTTTTCTCACTGTCCATGTTCATTTCACTACCACTTGTGTTGCTGTTTGAGCCAATGTTTTGATTTGGTTTGTTCTCAGTATTATCAGTACCCTGAAAATTTGGATTACCATTTTCTTTTATACTTTCTGAACCAACAGTCACCACTTCATCTTTACTTGTCTCTGATGCTAAAGCTTTTACCTCTTTATTGGATTCCTCAACATTATCAATGTCCTCAGGAAGAACTGAAGATGAACTAGGACTTTCAGCTCCATGACACTGCACTGGTAGCTCTGAAATGAGATCATGGGTTGGTTCAACAATAGGTACCGGAAGAGGAAATTCCACAGGATGACAGCCAGGCCAAACAACACTGGGACCAAACTTAGATACAGTGGGGTTCAAATTACATGGCCATGTAAAATGATTGGCATGAAAAGCACTGCTAGTGACTGGAAAGTTGCTGGTTGGTACTGATTGAGGTTGAGTATAAGGAGGATAAATGAATGGCAATGGTTGTATCATGTTTGGTGTTGTTGGAGGTGATTGATATGCATGGTGAGGAGAGGAACACACTGGGGTAACTGCAGGTAGCATAGTAGCAGGTCCAGGGTGAACATTCATGTTTACAGGCCAGTGGCCAATAGCTGGAACAGCACCAGGACCAGAAGGAAGAGTTGTGTTCATGGAAATTGGTGCAGCACGTGCAATGGCAGGTGATGGGTTGAATGGAACCGCAGATGCAGACAATTTCTTTAAAGGGATGCCCCCAGCATGACTCTGACTTGACGGAGATATATTGCCCCTTAAATCCTCACCACCCTGCGAAATGGAATTTGTATTTTCACTTGGTTCAAAACTGCCAGATGAATTACCTGCATCAAGTTCTTGTTTGTAAGAAGCCCCAGGATCCTCAATCACCATGGTGTTCTCAACTGTTCCTTGAGCCCCAACATCCCCAGATTCAAGCCCCCCAGCACTCGCACAATTAACTTGCACAGCATCAATCAACTGAGTTTCAAAACTGCCAGGTGAATTACTTGCATCAAGTTCTTGTTTGTAAGAATCCACAGGATCCTCCACGGCATCAATCATTATGGTGTTATCAACTGCTCCTTGAACCTCAACATCCCCAGATTCAAGCCCCTCAGCACTTGCACAATTATCTTGAACACCATCAATCAACTGAGTTTCCTCTCTCTTGTCATTAGCAACTCCAGTATCGTCTTGGGAATCATCTACAGAATCTGATAAAGAATCGTCATGCTTCTCTTTAAACACACCAATTAACTCCTTCGGGTTTGGATTAACGTTTCTATCAGCCTGAAAATCTTTCTCTTCATGCTTGCCAACATCACGTTCACAGGTAACAGGAATCTCGCTTCGAGGATTATAGACTTGTAATTTTGAAATTGACCCTGGAGGAGCCAAGGCTACTTCCTTGTATGAAGGAGATTTTCCAAGACTAACTATAGAAGTCTTAACTGGATTAACATCTTTTGGAGATGAATTTGAATCAGGTTCTGAATGAGAACTGCATAGCTTGTCACCAATTTCTAATGTCTCCTTTGCGGCAGACTTTGAAGCCGAGGGCATGGACTTGACCCTGTATGTAACAGCTTTGACTATTTTCCTTCCAAATTTAGTGCCTTGGGTGATGTTTACAGTATGATTATCTGTATAACCCCCATTGGATGTTGTTCGCTTCTTCAAGAAATAATACCTACTATTCTGATTAGCACTCCTTTCCAGAGGATATTCTGTACCAACTTCCACATTCTTCTGATAACTATAAACTTTCCCAAGTGTTGCCCGTCTCTGCTTCAGTCGCCGGCCATATGAGCCAACTGATCTTGGTCTTTGAACTGGTTGCCATCCATCCTCTCCGTCAGCATGTGCTTCTGACAAGTTTTCACCAGAAATTGGTGGCTTTTCATCTGAGATCTTTTCTAAAATAGGATGTTCTGAATCAGGCATAGAGTTGCTCTCCTGCTCAGAATCTGCACTACCTCCTGGTTCACTTATAAGTATCTCCTCATCTGAACCCTCTTTTGGAACTTCTCTTGAAGACTCATCAGAACTTGTTGCCATCACCTGCAAACAAATAAAAAATATATATATATAGACTTGTATTACAGAAAATGTGGATGCATGCAGGAGGGAGTACAAGTAGCCAGTTCTCACAATACGGTAAAGAGTAACAGTTCCAGGGCAAGAAAAAATTGCCTCCACTAGGTATATGATCCCTCAATTGCTTCTTTTCCTTCTGATCATAGACTGGATTAGTCTTGAAACTCATTCCAGGTTTGTTGGATTTTACGTCTTATAAAAGTATAAAGAAAATATGAAAATAGAGAAGATGGTTAAGTTGTACCTTACAATGTCACCATTTAAATTTTATATCAAGGGTACAACAATTCTCTTCTTTTATTGATGGTTAGTCCCTCTTCAAATAGATTGTTAGCCAGTTTGCTGTCCATCCATTATATGTCTTGTATACTAGTATTTGATTGACTATTCTACTTGCCTTTGTCAACTCAGAAAACAAGTCATCTATTTGAACTCATAGTAAATATTGAAAAAAAAAAAAAATTGTGTAGCTGACACCAAATTGAAGATTACAGGTTGTTGGTGTTTGTATCTTACAGACTTAATCCAAAAGCAATGCTTAGCGCAGAGAGAAAGAGATCTTATGAGCCAGAAGACAAGGTCTTTTGTTGACTTACAGTCATTCTAGGATCCTTTAGAATATTTCTCTAGAGTTAAGCAATGATGGGTTTGAATAAGTTCAAAAGGCAACCAACAATTCCAAAATAATCAAACCCTTGCAGCAAAATCAGAAAATGTAAGTACACAGTTGTCAATAGTAATCACTAATCAGACAACTCTTCTATAATTGTTTTGCCCCAAGATCTCAAACATTCAAACTGATGAATTGAACTTATCAAGACCAATAAATATGCAGCATACCTTTGTTATCTGGCTTCTTCTCTTTGCAGCCACATCTCTTTCTTTGGTATGGTCATTAGGATTAATGTAGTCAAGCAGATCCGACACACTGACAAATTCCAGGAAAATATAAGAAATCATTACAAAAGGTATCTGGGAATGTATGATACAAATATCACACATGTATGATGCAAGTATCAGAACCTGATACAATTATCCATGGAAACAAAACATATCAATGGTATTTTTTAAGAAATTATGCATATCATTGTTGACAAGTCAATAGGATATTATGGCACTCATAACCGCAGACACATAAAATAGGAGATGTGTCTGTTTCAGGAACATAAGAGCCATATGCAGATTAAATTTTTCTATCACAGTGTCTATGTCTGTTCTGTGCCCATGTCTATGCTTATTAGAATTGGCACAGCATCCATTTCAAAACTAAATGTCCATGATTGCATGTTGCATGCTTTGTATGGAAAACAGTTCTTTATCAGTAAATAAAATAGAGCTGTTCCCACAAGCCATATGAAAACCAAGAGAACTGTATCAACAGCAGTTCTTGACATGTAGCCTCAAACAATGTAATAAGTAATAACTGCAACGTTTCGTATTAAAATTACATATTACAATTTCCAATACAATAACTTAGCAGAACTACTCAATTAAATGACAACACAGAAAATATGGATGATAGGAGTACTTTCTGATGCAGCAATAAGTCAATAAAGTATCAAATCCAGATTGCAACGGTTAATTTTACCTTAGATGGCCTTTGCTAGCTATGGATGCATCAGGTTTTCGAGTACCATTTCGAGCAGCTTCTTGCTGTTCAAAAGCCTTGGACTCAAAATACTCAAGCCAAGCTGCAGCGTCCTGCAGAATTTATCACGAAACTAAAGATTATGCAAAACAGTTATAATTCTTTATACATTTTTTAGGAAAAAGGGAAATGAGAATTTTAATAACACAGCACCGTTGTAGATAATCATAATGATGATGCAAACTATTCAAAAACTGTTGTACGACATCATTTAAGACTTCAATCTGCCAACTGTATTACTGTTAAATACAAAGTTGTGTTGTATTATGCTAGTTATTGTTACGACTGGCATCCTAATGGGGGTCAACCCTCAGCATGGAGAGTATATTCTAGAAGGAATATTTGCCTTATCTTCTGAACTAACGAGTGTTTGCAGCACAAAGAACATACTTAAATGTGACAAATACCTGTGTACGCAAGTCATCAGGGCCAAGTTTTGCCCGCAGAATTTGCAAAGTTGTTTGCTCATGCTGCACGCTCAACGGATATGCTTCCATCAATGAGAGTGCTATTGCTATTGCATGATAACTTGCAGCAGTCTGCAGAGAATCAACATCCAACAAAGATGCAAGTGTTTTAACACAGATGAGAAGTTTTATTAGATACATAATACCATCCTATAGGTTATTATTCTCTTCTTTAAGGTCTGATCTTTGTTATCAATTCAAATCGTTACAATCATTATAAAAAGTACTAAAAATCATCAGCATTTTATATTAAAGAAAAATAAACATTTTCGACCCAACTAGCTCACAAATTTTCAAAATTATCTACCATCTAACTTCACAATTTATTATGCCAAAGGTGTAGCACACTCATTCATATGGAGCCCACTGTTGGCACTTCCATGTTAGGAAACATTCAAAAGAGAATTTAAGTAAAACATCGTGCATGAAGATGAAGAATCACTCAAAATAAACAAACTTCTTACTTCGGAAAAATCCGGGAAATAAAATGGAAAAAAATAAACCTGAATATGATCTGCACCAAGTAATCTTTGGTTGCACTTTAAAGCTTTGTGAAGGTATCTGAGAGCAACATGTACATTTCCGAGACCTTCCTCCATCATAGCCACATTAATGTAAGTTGCAGCAGTGTTTGGATGAGATGGGCCACATGTCAGATGCAGAAGATATAGAGCACGCTTTACATACCTGATTGCAGAACCAAGTAGGAAAAAAAATTAATCAGAAGAAAAACTGAAAAATAAGTTATTAATATTACAAAACTTCAAAACCCGATGTACACAAGTTGTGATGATTAATATTGTTAAAGTATAATATAAATCATTAAAAAGGCCCTCATCCAAAAGCTTAAGCTTTTGGGTTGAATTGGTTCTTTACATGATATCAAAGCCTTCTACTATGTCTCCTGGTTGCAATCGAGCGACGCTGGTGGTGACACCGGCATTGCAGTGTTCGCCCGAGGCTAGTAAAAAACTAGCGCAAAACCACCCCACGTGAGCGCCGAGGTTGCGGAGCGTGGTGGAATGTTAGGACCCATTTGTAAGATATGGGACTTGGAGTCCCACGTTGGTTGTATGGGCAACTAATGTGGGGTTTATAAGGCCTTGGGCACTCCCACCCTTTGAGCTAGCTTTTGGGGTGGTGCATCCCAAGGTCTTATCAAATGGTATCAGAGCCTCGTGTCTCGGATTCGATCCTCGCCGCCCCCTATTTTCTTTGTGAAATTCCTTAGCACAGGTAGGCTGGACTTGATGCATCATCCACCTTTCAAGTCCAACGGGTTCTCTTGTGAAGAGGCGTGTTAGAGTATAATATAAACCATTAAAAAAGCCCTCACCCAAAAGCTTAAGCTTTTAGGTTGAATTGGTTCTTTTTTTTGGAAATATTCCAATCGGTTTATTGCTTCGCAACTAATCCGATTCGGGACGGGTCCAGGATTAAGGCTTTAAACCCCTCCCAAAGGTGGTACTTTCAAATATAAATATTGTTCTCTTAAGGAAGTTAAAAAAACTAAGACGATCCTTTCAGAACACAAGTAAGGATAATCAATCCTCCTCTTTCTTTGTAATCCTTATTTTCTCTCTTGATAAATTCTTCATTTTCAAATTAAAAAATTAAGTAAATCATATCAAGTCAAAAAACCTTGAACTTAAAAAAATCCAATTTATACATCACCATATTGTACAAGACAAAAACATACTTCAGAGCCAGCTCTGTGTGTTGAAGTCTGTAATAGAATACTGCAAGATCCCCATAGCTCTTCATGGTATCAGGATGATCCAGACCTAACTCTCTCTCATTGATATCCAAAGCTTTTTGTTGGTAAATTGTAGCCTGTAATTGAAGTAAACAACTTAATGAATTGAAATCAAATCAGGGAACTTGACAATAGAAAAAAATTAGATATTTTTGCAAAGGTGCATATAAACTATAGCTGAAATATATGATTAAAATGTCAAGTATATTTAACAATATCAACCAAGACTTATCCCACCAAGTGGGGTCAGCTACATGGATCAAACAATGCCATCAGCCAATGTGTACAATTAAAAACCATATTTTCAATGAATCCATTTTGAGCAAGGTCCTTTTTCATGGTTTCTCCTAAAGTTTTCTTCAGTCTTCACTCTTCCTCAACTTCTTTTAATTAGATTATCTTCCATTTCATAAAATGTCAAGGGTAAACGGAAAAAAAAAATTATTGATGAATACAATGAGGTGTACTTTGGTTTCTGATGAAATAACGTCCACCAATACCAAAACATAAGTGAAACAAACCTGATTGAAGTCTCCAGTATGATATAAAACTACAGCAAGGAGGCTGTATGCCCCTGCTGTCATCCGATGGTAGGGACCACACACTGCTACCAGCTTGGCTAGAGCCTGTCGCCAACAAATTATAGCAGATATCATACAACAATTTCAAAATGAAAGGAATAGACAGTAGAAGAATCTTGTCAATAGTGTGAAGATTTCTGGTTACAGATACCTTTGTCCCATAGGTAACTGCATCCTCAAGTTTTCCCTTATCTAAAGCTGTTTTGGATGACTCTAGCAGCTGCCTTCCATCTGCAGATGAGCATGCTGCTTGCTGCAAAGAATCAGTATGGCATTACATACACAGTTTGGATCTATACAATCAATTTCAAGACATTATGCAAGAGAACCTATAATTAACATTATTGTTTGTTACCTTGTGAACTGGGACCAAGCTAACAATATCAGATTTGTGGAAGGGAATTGGAGAATCCATATCAAAATCCCTTGGAACAAGCTCAATTCCCACCTAATTCAGAAAGTGATGATAAGGAACAAATTGTCAATTATCAACTACTCAATGTCAAATGATAACCGTAAAGAACCAATTCAACCCAAAAGCTTAAGCTGATGGGTGAGGCTACATTAATGGTTTTTATATATCTCTAACACGCCCCTTCACACGATAGCCCACTGGGCTTGAAGGGTGTACAATGCACAAGCTCACCTACCTGTGCTTAACAAACTCCACAATATTAATTATTTATTAATTAAATGGGGGGCCGTGAGGATCGAACTTGTAACACCGAGACTCAGATAACATATAAAGAACCAATTCAACTCAAAAGCTTAAGATGACGGGTGAGGCTACATTAATGGTTTTTATATATCTCTAACAATAACCATAAGCCCTACAATCTATTGACTGATGTAAGCCTGTCCCATGTGTATCTATACATACCTGTATGCACATATACTGGGAAGAATGTTATATACATATTGTAAAAGCAAATGCAAAATTATCTAGTAAAAAAATGAGTCACATGAATTTCTTTATGAGAGTTATTGCAGTTGAAGGGAGAGAGAACAAAAGGAGGAAAGCAGGTTTACTGAATTCATGACAAGAGGCACATGCAACACTTTCGTGCGAGAAGATGAATCAAATTATGTCGACAAATTCATCAAGGTAGCATATGAGCATGTAAAACCAGCTTTTTCAACACCCAAATAACTACGAGTGTACTTCAATTTGACAGAGAAGGTTAAACTTAACACGTTTCCATCAATATGAACAGTGACAACATTCAAGTGGAAAATCCAGCTCACCTCTACATGCCCCTATCTATTTTCATAGCCACTGCCATAAACTGAACCTAATAATGAATATGTACTTGTCACAATGAATCATGAAATTTGGCATAGTATAAAAGAGCAACCTGGTACTATAAAGATCCCACTATGCTCAAGGTTCACGGAAAGGTCAAACCTATTGTGTGAGTCTATAATAGGCAGCCTTACCTTACATTTACAAGAAGCTGATTACATGATTTGAAGAAAATGGCAATTAGAAAAAGATACAAATGTGTGACTCCATAACAATGCAATCTATAATGCAAGATCAAGACACAACAGAAACTACGAATTCTATTGACTACTTCCAGACTCCATTACCTTGTGACACAAGCCACGTAAAATTGCAAATTTCCTCACATCTTTGTAATTCAAGCTGTTAAAATCCCAATCAAAACGTTTCTTCAAAAACAACTCTAGCCATTTCCAGACAAGGGGGTGAACTTTGCATGATTTATCTGATTCTCTATTTTCAGGAACACCAAGCAGCAAATTCAATGCACCAGCTATTGCTGAAGCCATTTTCTCCTTGTCAACAGCAGCAGAAATGACTGCCTGCAGGATGTGCTTGAAAGCTCGAACTATCATCTCATGAATACAAAGTGATTGCACATGTGAAAGTTTTTCTGAAAGCTTGACCTATAAAGAAAATCAAAAAGCAAATATTATACAACATGGAAATGCTTCCATCAGTGATTCTAAACCTAACACGGAAAATCCCTCTCAAAACCTTCTATAAAGATATGTAGCAGACAATACAAGAATAAAAGCAGAAGTTTTGATAATAGAATGAGAAAGTGATATAATTTGGCAAGAGTCTGGCTGGCCAACATACATTGTCTCTATAGTCATATTCTCAGAGCTAGTGAAGCAATTGTAAAGATGTCAATTCTAACAACTTCCATTTCATGAATTTGGATATATTATTATAGCTCCATAACGTGAATAATAAGGTTTAGAGCACTGACAACATGTCCAAGAGAACGCATTCGTAGACCCCTAGTATGCATAAAATCAGTTAGTGTGCGGCCATCAACTGGAGAGAGTTCCAATGAGCCAAAATCTGCTACCTGTTGCATAATTAATACTACAATAAAAACCACCAGTCTTGGGAACTAGAAAGCCTTGCAGACAATCAACCAAATAAATTCTATTTTACCAGTTTTGGTAGAGCAACATCCGTGTAATATTTCCGAGATAAGTCAACCAAATCTTGCATAGACTGTTAATAACAAGAGATTTTACTCAGACACCAGATAAAAATAGTTCGGTTCAATTGCTATAAAACTTGGAAATACTTTGTTACACCTAGAAGAGTTACCTTGCAGTGAAGTCCAGTTCCTGATTCTTTTAATCGGCTAAAAGAAGCTTCAGATAGCATCCCCTTCAGCACAAGCTCATTCTCAGCTGCTGTAGTTTCATGCTGGGATACAATTGACAGTAATGGAGCACTTTCAGCCTTCCCATTAGATTTTGAATATTCAGATGCCAAATTAGGACTGCTTGGATCAGATTTGTTTTTATTATTCTTGAGGGCTTTAAGGGGTTTCCCAAGACCCTCGACCTTCATTTCATTCTTAGCCTTCTCCAAAGACGGTTTCTTATCTTTCTCTGTATTGTTTTGGTCTTGCAAATGTTGTATCCAGCAGGCTCCAAGTTCCCATCTTACAAAATTGTCCAATCCCAGTTCCTCTTCCTCAAGCTTAGCAAGGCTTTCTTTAATCAGCGTCTCCACAAAAGCATGGGAAGCACCAAGCTCTTCACTCTCAAGAGTTTCCATCTGAGTCATCTGTTTATTGTTCTCTGGTTGGGTAGTGTGGTGAAGAAGTAATCTCAAACTGCAAGGAACAATGAAATAATTACAGGCCCTATCGTCATTTGATCAATGAGAACTTGATCAACTAAGGAAGTTGAAACTGCAGCTTTAAAGAAAAACAGAGCATCTAGAAATAGATTCAAAAAAAAAGTAACTTGGAAAAAAAATACAAAAGCTAAAACCCAAAAATGAGTCCACCAAACCATCTAGGAGTACAGCTCATCAAAAATCAATAAAAAAATATCTAAAAGTGAGCCGAGCTCAAAACTTCATCAAAAGAAACTGCCAAGAAAACTTGTTGCAATTTATACTTTCCAAATAAGAAGGCAGAGCTTATTAAAAGAAAAAAGGGTTAAAAACACCCAATTTAAAGTTCTTAAATTGTTGTAGTTAAGAAACAACACCAAAACTACAGCTAGAGCTCATTCAAAAACATTATTCTCATTCATATTGTAGCTCAAGATGATAAATTTTACAAAAAGGGAGAGCGAGAGAGGGAGGGAGCACACCTAGTTGATACGAGTATTATGTAAAGTTGTAAAGTAGTAAAAGGGTGTAACATGGAAGGGTTCATGAACCTGTTAATGTTGAGTGCGTTGGCACCACCCTCTGCCTGGTCAAGCAATTCAATACTTTGATGAGATGGAGAGTTGACATTCTGGTTATCTCCACCCTCAACTTTCACAACAATCACATAACCGCAATATCTTATATTGACAACACCTAAAGTGGTAATATCCTGCACATAAAATGGGAAAAGTAATCAGTTATATGAAAAGAAGGGGGGGGGGGGGGAACAGCCCTAGAGCACAAAAGTAACCAATCTTTATCTATATAAGAGTATCATACATGGGCAGCGGTATTCTCATCAGCAGTGATTCCTTTCAGTAGATTTCGTTCTACTAGATCCTTTTGATTTACTCCAGTAGCTTCAACTCCATCAATTTTAGTATCAATCTTACAGCTCGCAACAGAACCATCTTTCAAGACTCTGATACTCAAGTCACCTACTCTCTCAGTAATGTCATTTGCTGCAACTGAGCACCTAAAATTGGGCTCTTCCATTACATGTTTAACAGCTCTGATTGCTCTGAAAAAGGCAACATCAACAAACAGGCTGTGCAAAAGAAATGCTTTTCTATCACGAACCTGCCTTTCTTCTGCTGTCTTGCAAGGCATAGATGCAATAAATGAAAAATCATTAGCCCAAGGAATCAAATCACATTTTCTGTCTCTTCCAAGACCACCACCATTTCCTCCCCAAGTTTCATCCTCCACAGGAAGAGGAGGAAAAGACGAAGGTGATTGTGCTGCAACAGGAGGAACAAGCCATGTGTTGGCTCGGAAGCCATAGGGGAGATTCCCAAACTGAAGACAAAAGAAAATGGGGCAGAGAGGACTGATAAATACAATGATGATCACAGTGAGAAAGATTTACAAGAGCCAATAGTGAGGACTTCATTAATACATGTTCAATGGTTGTTTACAGTAGCGATACCAAACTTTTAATTAGGAATAAGAAATGTAAACAAACCAAAAGTTGTTCAATACCTTGTTACGTTCTGAAAATGCCTTAATGAGATCATCGTAAGCCTGAAAATTAAGAAATAAAATTTGTAAATTTTACTAAGTATTAACTAGCGTAAATCAAATTAAACATACAATACCGTCAATAGGAATGTTGAAACCGTGTCAAGTTTAAATTTCATCTTTTTGCACATTTATACATCTTTCTTTTTGGTTTCCCACAAGATATTGCATATCAAAATCTAAACATACATTAAACTAGTACCGAGTTTCCCACAGTAACCCAAAGTTGCCTCTACATCAGCAATACAGCAAGTTAAGTAATTAAAATCACCATATTGCACTCATATATCAGGGTAACAAAATAGATTGAGCCATGCAAACTTCATACTAAACTAATACAATATTCAATAACTCTGTAAAATCATTCATCATTTGATTATATTAAAATAACAATAAGTAGCTAGTGCTGATTTAAATACCTACTGCGAAAAGGCCTAACCAGAATGATTCAAAAACTTCATTAATTTTTCAGAATTTTTTTTTTATATTTACTGTGCTTTAAACAGAAAATAAGTTAAACAGAGAAGAAGATGAAGGAACACTAACACTGTCAAAAGCTCTGCTAAGTTGTCTCAACAAATCAACAAGATTATGACACAGAATCCGTTGTTTCCCAACACTGTAAAACCCTTTTCTGCTAGCCTCAACGTGCACCACTTTCCCGTTATACAGTTTCACCTGTGACCACACCACAACAACCACAAAACACAAGCATTTCATTTCATTCCCAAAAAAACACCCAAACGCGTGACGATAAATTCAAAGACGAAATACTCACATCGAGCGAGAAGAGATAATCCGCCTCCGATATCTCGTCCACGTGGCGCCTCGAAGCTCTTTTTATATCTGCATCGATTCATTAGCTTCAGCATCTTACCGACACATAGAATTGCAAATAATTTGCACAGAGAAGAGTGTGAAAGAGGAAGAAGGAGGAGAATTGTACATTGGAGAGGAGCAGTGAGATGAGAGAGAGAGAAAAATTCGTAAAAACTCCCCAGTTTAGGGCACGAGTGGCTTATCTCGCCATCTCCCTCCGCCGCATCTTTCGGCGTTTGCTTGGCCGGCGGAGCTCCAGACTTGGACGCCGCCGCCGCAGCCGGCTGCGGAGACGACGGACCAAAGCTGGTGGTGCAGGCGACGATGTCGAGGAGTCTACGCACGTGTGCCACTGCTTGATCTTCATCGTAATCCTCTGCGTGTGCAAAATTTGTAAACTGAGTATGAGGAAGAAGATGACTAAAACGACCTCGTATTGGCGAGCTCCTTTTCGTTTTAGTTAAAATAAAAAGTATTGTTATCAAAAAAAAAAAAAAAAAAAAAGTATTTTTTTTTAAAAAAAAAAATTCTCCATAAAATTATCCTCTGTAATTTTATAATTTCGTTATTTTGAGATTTTAAAAAAAATATTTTAAATATTTTATTCTTTGTATATCATAAATTTTATTTGATTTTTAGGAATAAGTGATTATATCTACTTTTTTTTTCATATCTATCTTGTTATCAATCTCCAATATCGTTAAATCAGAATCTCAATTAATTTTTATCATTTACCTCTTCTCTTAATATTCTGATGTAACGGTGTTAGAGAGTGATAGATATAAAAAAATAAGTAGAATAATTTTTTTTTAAACCGAAAACTATGTTGTGTTGGAATTTTAGAAAATAATTTTATGTCTTGTTATGTACAAGGGAAAATAGTTTGTCTTTTTAAAGGACACAACACAAGTTATGTTATTTTAATTGCTTATAACTATATATTCTGAAAAGTATATAGTTATAATATTAAAGTTATATTTTTTTCTCTCTCTTCACAACTTGTTGGCTGACGTGAAAAATAAAATATAAATATAAATTTAATATTATAACTATATATTCTCAAAATATATAATTATAAACAACTAAAATAACATAATTTATATCTTTTAAAAAAATAAAATATTTTTTTGTATGGTATACATTAGAAATGTTAATTTTTATTTATTTATTAAATAAAATAGTGTTAATAATACCTTCAAACAAAGTGAGGATGCAAGGCTTCAGTGCGTACACATCCACCATGTCCTTCAAACGTGGCCCTCTTACCTGTATTGTTAGAAAAGGCCTTCGTTATGAAATTATAAATTTAAAAGAAAATATATACAATAATATGTTGCATAACACTATATTGTTATTAGAATTAGCCATGACCTTAATGTTTGGCCGATCTATTAAACCGGTTATGCCTAAACTAAAAAGTCTCGTAGATTTCCTTTCTTGCAGGACCTTAGCAATATTTTAGTTCTTACATAAAAGAAATTTATAAGTTAAACTATTTGTCGTCGCATAAAAATTTCAACTTTCTGAATATGATCTTTATATACATGCAATAATAAATAGAGTTAACTAAAGGGGTTATTTATATTCTCATGTAAAATTTATCCTTAAGTTTTTGTTAAGTGAGTGCTAGGCCTTAAATTCTATTATTAAATTTAGATGAATTTATCTATGATAACATTGTAAATCCAAAATCCTTATATTTTGTCGTCCATATTTTCATGAGGTCAATATTCATTTGTTTGATTTCTGGATTGAATGTGTCACACCTTATATACCAAATGTATGAATACGATTTTCTTTCTTTTTTGTGTTTTTTTTTTTCTGATGATGTTTGCTTTCTATTGGTTACATGTCTCTAGTTTGTCAAAGAGAAGTCAAACATATTGTTATTCATGGGGCTGCATGTCTTATGTATCGTCCCTAATAGAACTTAGAATTGAACAGTGTGTAAAGAGACATATAGTACACTTATCATTAATAAATGGTTGAAATTAAAATAATGTAAATTATTTATAGTACACAATTTACCTCATGCGATAGTGAAAAATTTGTCACATAACACGTCTCCGTATTCACCGACAAAAGCCGACGAACATCTATTATTCTATCCGTTGATATTCCCTGCTTCAAAAGATACACAAATAAATAAATAAAACCATTTGATTTTGTATTTTGCATCAATTTATGTGAATAAAAGAACCCAATTATAAAGTCCTGAAAGCTATGTAAGAGAACTTGGAAAAAAAAAACAAATTATTGAAAGTAAATTGGAGCTTTCATAAATTGAAGCTACGTGTTCAGTTTAGATTTCAAGGTTGTTGGTATCCTTGAAAATCAAATCATTCATATTTTGTCATTATGTTATATTTGTCAAAATGATATTTCAGAGACAGACTCTTCATCCCATGGACATTAACAAGTGCACGCCTCTATATGTGGTGATACAAAAAGATAAGCCAAAGCTTTAACATGAAACACGGGTTCATAAATAGAATTTTTGGTGCTTGTTTAAGCCTTACCATAATGACACAATATAGCTTAAGCTAATGGGAAAGTGAGCTAATGGTTGACACATATATTTAATCTTATAATAACAATTTTTGAAGTATAAAGTTCAGCACTAATAGTCAAAATCTAGCAAAAGATTCCCATGAGAATCATAACAAAACGGACATAAGGTAGCTGTCAATAACTACTCAATGCACACACACAAAATAACCAGCAATGAAAGTTGAGAAAAGAAGACTTTCTTTTTTCAATATATTACCAAATAAACTAAGAATTTAACGTGTTTCCTTTTAAAGAATATAAGTTTATGTCTTTTCATCCTTTATAATTATGTGTTCACCGGAGAACATAGTTATAACATAAAAAAAAAAAAAAAAAAAATCTCTTTCCACGTCAATCGATAAGTTTCTAAATAATTTCTAGAGAAAAAAAAAATTAATATTATAACTATGTTTTCTTCAAAATATATAATTATAAAGAGGTGTAAGGAGATAAGTTTATATCCTTTAAAAAAAGACGAATAATTTTCCCATAAACTAAACAAACCTTAAGAACAACACGAGTTTCATCAGGAAGGTTCACAGTGATATCTATGACAACCGGAAGAACTGCAAAATTACAAGAAAGAAACAAGTTAGGCATATCCTGTTTTGAACAAGCTTTCAAAGTGTTTTTAATCTCAAAATTGAATGGTATAAGAATTTTATTACCCTTCTCTTCTTTTTTCTTCTTCTCTCCCTTGGCCTTTCCACGATTGTATCTTGGTGACATTTTCTACTCGTTTGAGTTCCTGGCACTAATAATACACAGAAGCACAAGTTAGAATATTCATTCATATATATACTATAGTATTTTATAATTATAAGGCAGCAATATAAATAAATACATCAATTATTCATTATCTGCAAATAAATTTTGTATTGCACATGGAACAAAAGGGTGTCAATTGAATACTATAGAGGTGCAAAGGAATTACCAAAGAACAAAAGCAGGGAAATTTATAGGACTTGGATGATTGAACAAAAAGAGATAAAGGGGGGGTATGGGGATAGAGAATGGTCTTTAATGCGCTATAGAGCTATTGAGGTTCAGAGAGTGGATAATAAGCATAAGAGAGAGGTTTTGAGTTGGAACTCTCATCCATTACAAGAAGGGGAAAATGATAAATGAACAAAAATGGAAAAGAGAAGCAGAGAGATATAGATGGGAGAGTGGTATGATAAGGAAAGAAGGGTTGAGATTCAATGCTCAGAATGATAATGGCATTTTCTGGCACCTTGTTTATACAGGTTAATTATCAATTTGCGGTGTATATATAAATATAGTTTTTTTTTTCTATAAAGTTTTTTAAATTTAATTCAGTAAATAATATAATATTTTAATTGTAATTTTAATTTTGGAAATTGAAATCCATTAGGTGCAGCAATTAGTGGAGGGGAAGAGGGGGACCACATAATAGATAGGGTCCACGGTAAACAGTAAACACAGGCAAGCCGTATTAGTGGTGTGAATTTCTATTAAAAGCTTAGACAATGAGAGATTTTTCGGTAATATAACGTCGAATTTTCATTAGAAAACAGAGTCTTATTAGTTTTCATAATTAATTTCTTAATGCTTAAAATGAAGAGGGCGATTATATTTATAATATGTTTCGATTATAATTTCTTATAATCAAATCTTAATCCATCAATTTAATAGTTATAATTTATTGAGAATTAATAATTAATTAATAATATGACAGAGAAAATTATAACCATCAGATTGACCGAAATCAACTATAAATATTTAATCACAAGAAGTTATAAGCGAAAAAAGATTATAAATATAACATTTTTTTTAAATGAAATAGCAAGCATTTTAGTCTATGAATTGTATTTTTAGTTCGCCTGCCTGAATTGAAAATATGCAACTTTTTCTTTTTGTCAATGTTCTCGGTGATAGAATTAAACTTGCGTTACTAATGCTTTGTATTTTTATTTTTATTTTTGAAAACTAATGCTTTGTATTTGTTCGAATAAATAACTCTAAAATTATGTTTGTTGTATTCTAATAAATTTGCATTTGTGTATTTTGATAAACATGTTAATTAAGAAAATTTTGACAGAAATAAAATAAATTTAATCATAAGCTATTTATTTGATTGAATTAGTTTAGGCATTATGTTTTTGTTTTTATTTTTGAGAATACGCCTCTTCTATTAATCCCCTCAGCTAGTCAGGTTTAGTCTAATTTATTAAAATAAACTTATATAATTCAGTTTACAATTAGGAAAAAAATTAGGCATCATATATATTTTTGTGTGTATATATTGAAAATATAAAAAAAAAAATCATTCAAATGTCTTTACCTAATAATTTAAAGTTTAGGGAGAGTTGGTTGCATAATATGATATTAAAATCTCTATAATCAAATGATTTTGAGTTCAATCTTTGTAGGCTTGTAGCCATTCTTTTAAGGGTCTGCTTTTTCTGCAGTTATTGCAGATAAGTTATCTGCAATAAGCTCAATACGACATCATTTTGGGACAAAAATTGTGATATTTTTGTAATTTTAATTTATTTCAGAGTTATTATAGTCTTTATAATTATAATATTTTAATATTTCAATCTCCAAATGACGTCGTTTTAGAAGTAAATGCAGATAATTTATCTGCATTAACTACAAAAATATTTTTCTGTTCTTTTAATAATCTAATAAATATTATGAAATTTCTTAATATAGATAGACAAGTTTTGCATTAATTGTCCGCTTTTATAAAATAATAAAATTATTAATCTATTTTCACCTAGTAATTTAAGCTTTTAGGAGAGTTTATTGTTTGATATACAGTTTTGCATTAATTGTTCACTTTTATAAAAGGGTTAAAGTTTTCTCGTATTGTAGGATAGTAAAAGAGAAAAAAAAGTAGAGACAAGTTAAATGTGAGTCCCATATTTTATATTAAAAAAGAAAAAAATTAATTGACACGAAAAACGAATTTGTGTAGAAAAAGATTTTACTCTCTTGTAGCAGGAGAGTATTATTTCCATTTATAAAATAATAAAATCATTCGTCTATTTTCACCTAGTAATTTAAGCTTTTAGCAAAGTTTATTGTTTGATATATATATCAGAAAAATATTTCTACAGTTACAACATATAAGTTATCTGCATTTACTTTCAAAATGACGTTATTTTGGGATTGAAATATTAAAAAGTTATAATTATAAAGACTATAATAATCCTGAAATAAATTAAAATTACAAAAACACCATAATTTCCGTCGCAAAACGACGTCGTATTGAACTTATTGCAGATAACTTATCTACAATAACTGCAGAAAAATGAACCCTACATATATATTTGTGTGTGAATGTGCACAGGGTGTGTTTGTGTGTGTTCGGTTTAGGATGTTGCTTTATCGGAACCAATTGATGTAAGTAAAAGATTTACAATACATACAAATCACTAATACAATTCTAAGAATATTATTGTATGTGAGGAGATACGAGTATATGCATACATAGAGGAGAGAATGTATTTGGAATAACTAACACCATTCTAAAAGTAATTAAGAGCATAAATCATACAAATCACTAATACCATTCTAAGAGTATTATTGTATGTGAGGAGATGAGAGTATGTACATAGAGGAGAGAATGTGTTTGGAATACCAACACCATTCTAAGGGAGTGTTTGATAGGGGAGAAAATTTTTTTAACCAGGTAAATGTAAATAGTGGGAAAATAGTGTTTAACTTAGACAAGTGGAGAAATTTTAAAAATGTTGTTTGGTAGACCGAAATAATACCAGGAAAATTGTATAAAATTTACTGAAACTATGTTTGGTTGAAAGAAAAAAATTGATGGAGAAATATGACAAAATTTCCAAAATACCCCTCAATATTTAGGGTGTTCATCAGAATAAACATTCAGGCTTCACTTACTTAAATACGTGCTGAATCATCCTCCACTTTTTCTTTAAAATGAATTCAACCATCTTTATGTCTCACTTGTCCACGGGTCAGTGAACTACATAGGGAAGGAGTTTTGCAAAGGAGAGAGGTAAGTAGCCAGGGGCAATAACGTAACATTTTTGGCTCTTAAAAGATCATTTCCCTTGTTTTCTTCTCATACCACCTCCAAAGTGGTGTTCTAGAACAATGTTTTGGAGCCAATTTAACGCTGCTTTCAGAGATTCATGGGGTAACCCATTGCCCAGTTTTATTTCTCATACTCCTCTACCAAACATGTCCATCACAAATCCCCTCCTACACTTATCCATCTATCCCCTTAAAAACCTTCTACCAAACACCCCCTAAAAGTAATTAAGAGTATAAACTTTTATTATGTTATTGGTACTTAATTATTTTAAACTTTATCATTACATCCTAACCTAAATTTATCAATAAGGATTGTATAAGGATTGGTAATCTTATTTATTCATATTTGGTATAAGGATTGTTAGAATTTTTTTGGAAAAATCAGAATCTCGGAAAAAAAAAATTTGAAACTTTTTGAAACAAAATGCTATCCAAAAATACCATCAAGAGAGTGATATTCTTGGATTCCCATGACATGAGAAAATTTCACACAATTCCTTTGTAATATTTTGGCCTACCAAACAATTTTTTAGTAATCGAAAAATTCATTTTTACAACATAATCTTGAAAATAATGATTCTCATGCATAAAAACAATTTTTTTTCTTTGCCAAACACTCCCTATCATTCTTTTGGGAAGTCTCGGGCATATATGATGCACGTTTTTTTTTTTTTTTTTTTTTTTTTGTTTGATCCACGTTTTTAGTTTGAAAAGGAATATCATACCAATTAATGTTAGTTGCATTTTTTCCCCAGACTCGAAATGCATCTTCTGTTTAATTATTTTGTTTCCTGATTTTTTTTTATTGACATCTATATTAATATATGTCTTAGTTTATGTTTTTTATTGACATCTATATTAATCTATGTCTTAGTTTATGTTCTTATGATATTTTAAAAATAAAAGAGGTTAAGGAAAAAAAAAATTCTCAATAGTAACTGCTCATTTTAAAATAAAAAACCAATTATTGTCAAAAAAAAAAAAAAATTCCATGCATGTCCAATATCATCTCAAATGTTTTGGTGTGTGATTAAGATTTATATACTACTTCCTTCGTTTCTTTTTAGGTTCGTTTGTTTAAAGTTCTTTTTAGATAATTTTGCCTAATAATCACTAAAATGACATCGTTTTGGAGTGAAAATCATGATATGTTTGTAATTTTAATTTATTTTAAGATTTTAATAATCTTTCTCATTCTAATTTTTTAATTTTTCAACTCAAAAACAACGTTGTTTCGGTGAATATTAGACAAAATTATCTAAACTAACATTAAATATTTTTTCCCTTCTTTTTTATATATAATTTAAGAAAGTTATCAAGTGGTCTTAATTAATGTAAAAAATAAAATATCTCTAATTTCCTTTTCTTTTTAGTTGGTCTTATAAGTTAGCTAGGTCAACGAGACAACGACACATACATGACAAATAATAGTGACATGCCCATTTAATTATGTTCCCTATTTGTAGAAATCATAATGACATTGTTCTTCTCATTCTTATTCAGTGTATAGTATCCTTAGCTATCCAAAAATAAAGTATAATTTTCACCTTCTATTCAATTACTTATATTCCTTCTACCTTTGTCTCCCATAAATGTGTTAGTCTTTCTTCGGATTTTTACTTGTTGTATTTCTATATAGCTTCTATCACTATAAAAACATACTCTATTACCAAAAAAAAATAAAAAAAATACTCGATCAAATTAATATATGATGTGAGTACATTTTTTTTTATATACAAGTGAGAATTGAACACACAGCCTAATACAACATATCCGAATCTCTCACCACTAGACCAATCTTAGTGGCTTTGATGTGAATACTTTTTGTTATAAGTATACTCAATCATTCCTGCTTACCGTTTTTCTTTTGCGGTCAATGGGGGCATTGCACCCATTATCGAGAGTTTGTGCAAATATGGAAAATTAGTATGCCTCCTTTTCTTTAAATCTCTTAGGTCCAAATAATTAACTCGCATCTAGTCAAATATATAGCTAATTTGAGTCAAACCCAATAATAATTTTAGTTAAAAGAATCTTAGGTGGTGTTTGGTTGGAAGCTTTTGAGCGGATATCTATCTTTCTCAAGTGAGACTTTTAGAAACA